GCTCTGCTCTCAAGGAATCTTGGTCTGATGGGGATGGCTGTCATGTCAGCAGACAGATACCATCCAGTGTGGTGTTTCACCGGAAATTTGCACAGAGTGTACTGGTACTTGGAGAACCCTTGAGCTGGCATTTAAGGAGTGTCTCCAGGAGGACAAGGTTGGAAGTGGGGTGGAAGGAGCAGCGTGTGCTAGGCCAAAGAGGGGTAAGAGAACTTGGTCTCTTTAGGGAATGGCAACTAACTCAATATGACTGGAATATAAAATGAGTAAGGAAGACTGCTGGGAGGTAAGGTAGGAAGAACAGGCAGGGCCTAAACTGTGACATTTAGAAGGCTAAGTAAGGATAGCAAGAACATTTATCTTGAAAGCCAGCTGTGATGAATTGGTGGTGGGTGTTAAGAATGATTCTGAGGCTGCATCTGGTGTCTGGGAAGAATACTGTGGTCAGTTGGTCTTCCATAGGCCTGGTAGCTGGGGGTGACAGCCAGTGTGCTATGCATTTCCCAGCTTTACTTAGGAGTTGTGGAACAATCGGACAATTTTGAAGAGGAAAATGGTAGGACCTGGGGATTAGGTTAGATAGAGAGGTGATTCATACCTTACCTAACATCATGGAGCAAATAATTGGAAGACATGTGATTGGAACCCAGGTCTGTCTGACAACGAAGCCTGTATTCTTAAAACTTCCCTGCCTTCTGAGATAACAATCCCTTTCTTGGCCCAAAAAAGTGTATTTCAGTGTGGGAGCTCCCAGTTAGTTTGGTCAATGATCTTTCTTCTGGCTGCCCCCTGCTTTCATCTCCCTTTCTCTTATCAGCTCCCCCTCCCTTGTGCACAACCTCATCATCTTACACCTGGACTGACTCCACTATGCCCTTCTCAAGCATGGACTCCCTGCTGGAGGCCTGTGGCTTCCTAACATGCCAGGAACAATTCTCAGCTGTGAGGTCAAACCTCGATCGATGGGTAAAGGTGATTTATTTATGTTTTTGGTGCAACTATTAGGCAGATGTCTGCAGACAGAATATTGAGCTGAATGTGGAACACGGTAACAAGATATCGAGGTGATACCCAAGGAAGATGGCAGAGAGGCTGTACTCATCATGATAACTCGGGGCTGAGGCTGAGAGAGCAGTCACCATCTGGAGCCATGCCAGCTCCACACCGGCAGGAAATCGAGCCCCAGAGCGTCTCACACCTGCTCAGCCTGGAAGTGATTTCCATCACTTCTGCTCACAATCCATTGTCCAGAACTAGTCACATGGTGCTCACCAACTAGCAGTTGTCTGTCCTGTCCCTGGAAGGTGAAGCCAGAAGGATGAGGTGAGCCTATCTACTGGGTACCACGGTCTTCCTAGTGCCTAGCACAGAGCCTGGGAGGGAGCTGCCGATAAGCAAATTTCTGATGAAGTGTTTTCCAGCCCAACCAGTATTCCCCAAAATAGCTCTTGCTAAAGCTTCAGTGACCTCCATGCTGCTACATCTGGTGGACACTTAGCAGTCCTCAGCTCCCTTGATTTTGCCTATAACATAGCATTTTCATTCTTAATACATGTCTCTTGGTTTCAGGACCCAACACTTACCTTATTTACTTTCTACCTCTTGGGTCACTGCTTCCCTGCTCCATTGGGGCTTTCCTCTCCTCTACCTGGCTTTCCATTTTGGAGTTTCTCAGGGATTGGACCTCTTTTCTTACTCACTAAACTCCTTTCTCAGCAGATTTCACCCAGCACCTTGGCTGGAACTATCCCCTCAACTTTCACTGGGCTTATCTTTCTTTCGAGCTCCACGCTCATACATCTCATCGTGCGCTTGTCATTTTCTCAAGAATATTTCAACACCATCTCAAATTTAATAATTTAATATGTTGAAAACAGAAGCCATGACCTTTCTTCTTCCACCTTGTTTCCTAAAGCTGCTCCTACTCCCAGGGTGCCTCACCTCACTACATGGCAACACAACCCACCTACTTACACAACCCAGAAACCCAAGAGTCATCCTAGGCCCTTTCTTCTCTCTCCAACCCCCTTTCATTGTAAATCTCTCACTGAACATCATCAATTTTCCTTCTTCAGTATCTCTCCACTCCATTCATCCCTCTCTATCTTCATCACCGTCTCCATTTCCTCTCTTATCTCTATCACTGGTCCACGTGGCCACCACATATCCCACCTGATTGTTGCAAGTTCCCCCAATGGCCTTCATGCCCATCCCAGATGCACCTATATGTTCTTTATGCTGCAACCAGAGGGATTCTTTCAAAATGCACATTTGGTTGCACCTGCCTCTCCTCCCAAAACATTTCAATAGCCTGCCATTGCGCTTATGAAGTAGCTAATGCCTCATGTTGGACCCACAGTGTGCACGGTCAGGTCTCTACTTCTCACCTCCTCTTACAACCATTACAGTGCCTGGCACATAGTAGGCACTTGGTAAATATTTTTTGAATGAATGAACGTATGGTATAAGGGAAAATGGCAATCAGCTCTCTGTGGCACTAGTCTGGTTATTTTTACCATTAAAAAGCAGCAGAGGTAGCCTGGATGGCTTTTCTGGATACTGAGGTTGGTTCAGGGTCTCCAGGCAAGGCTAACGGGCACCAATGTGGGTCACAGTTGAGTTCTGAGCAGGGGGCCTGGAGGTAAGTGGAGTGAGCCTTTGATGTAGCCTCTGTCCACGTTTGGAACCCAGCCCGTCTGAGCTAGAACCAAGCTGCTCATGTCAATGCTGTTCTGTCTGCTTGCTGCACCTGGCACAGAGGCGGTGTCAACATGGCAGCTAGTTGTATTATTCTCAGGCTACCTGGGAATGGAACACAGCCCAAGTGGGGAGAAAGGCTGCTAGCTGGGACAGGCGACTTCTTTCATGGTCACCTTCCTCCATCCTGTGAGCTCCCTGGGCTAGATTGGGGGTGGTCCCCACAGGGTGGGCTCAGGGACAGTCTCAACTTCTGGGGCGGGGGGTGAGTTAGCCATCTCCCTGGGGTCCGAGGCCATCATCAAGAATTGTGACAGTCATTTCTCTGTTTGTGGCTTTCAGGTCTAGGGCCATAGGGTGTGGGCTCTGGAAACGCCTTGGGCTACTATAGAAAGAGCTAGCCTGTTGGGACCCCGGTGATGTAGGGGGGACTCTGGGGAGCACATGGGACGTGGGGGGCAGCCTGGCCCACTCCCAACCGACTGTGTGCCTCTAGGAAGTGTGAGGATGCCAAGTGTGCAGAGGGTCTCATTTCATCTTCTTAAGTCCTGAGGAAGCTGCTGTTCCCATTTTCTCTAGCTCCCAGATGAGGAAACCAAAGCTTGGAGAATTTGAGGGACTGGCCCAAGTTCCCATGGCTGTTGGTGTTAGGACTGCCTGACCCCCAAAGCCACCCTCTACCCCCCATCCCACGTCACCCCCTCCAGAGACGACAGTGCTTCCTCTTCTCTGAGGGGCCAAAAGGAAGAAGTAAGGGGTGGCGGGGAAGCATGATGCCGGTCAGGGTCCTGGCAGGAGAAGGGTTTGCCCCAGTAGTTTAAGTGAGGGAACTGAGTGCAGGGGCTTCTCACTGAGGGATGAGAGGTGGGCAGGGTGGAAGGAATGAATGAGAGGTGCTGAGGCACACAGAGAATAGCAGGGGTGGAAGCTGTTACCACCCTTGGCCTGACGGGATGGGGGAACAGTGTTATGGGGACCTGGGGAGAACTAGACCCCTGGAGGAGGTGCCGGTCTCGGAGGATGAGGGACTGCCAGCGACACACACAACGTGTTTCTTCCTTCCTTCTCATCTCCACTGGGCCTCCCCATGGATAAGTCCTCCGCCCCAGCTCCTGAAACCAGCAGTCAGAGAAGCCTGAGGAGGATGCAGTCCTAGAGGCCGGCATCTTGGGGACAGAGTGGTGGAGGAGGGACACTTGGAGACTAGTCCTCACGGAGACCCAAGGGGAGGAGGTGAGGGGCTGTGGTGGCAAAGACCAGGGCCAGGAGCCCAGACACGGGGGTGGGGGCAGTGAGTCCAAGTGCACGGTGTCTCCATCACAAACAGGAGGGGGCAGTCAGCTGGCCTGCCTTCTCCCCCAAGCACTGGCAGTGCCTGTCCCCATGGCCTCCTGCAGGCTCTTCCTGTGTCTGTTCCTAGAATGGTGCTTCCCCAAGGCAGGGGTATCAATCCAGCGTCACACTGGGAGCCCAGGGCTGGAACTGGGTCCTCCCCATTGACTGTGCTCTCTGGGGCCAGCCCCTTAGTCCTCCTCTCTCCCTCTCTCTCTCTCCCTCCCTCCTTCCCTCCCTCCGCCCACCCTCCCCTCACACCTGGTGTTGAGCCTGTCTCTCATGGTTTCTCTCTGGCTTCTCTCTGTCCCCTCTACCAGATTCCTTCTTCTTTCTGACTTGGGGTGTCTGACGAGGCAGGAGCTGAGGGGCTGACTGAGCAGGACTGGAAGCCATCTTGAGCCAGCCGTCTAGGTCTGAGACACTGCTCAGGGACAGGCATGGTCAGCCTGCAGAGCCAGGGAGCGAAGCATCTGCTAGGCACTTGGGAAAGTGCGAGCTGGTGGGGTGGGCTGGGGTGGGCCGAGAAGCAGAGAGACCTCCTGGCCCTGAAGAGAACCTGGCCTCCTCTGTCCTGGAGGCAATTCACTGCCTCTCAGGAACCCAGGCTGCTCCTCTGCAGGGGCATTAAATATTTATGAATCAGTGGAGTTCACGTTGTTTTCTGAGCAGTAAGTTTTCATGATGTGTATTTGGCGAGTGAGCAGGCTGCCCCACCAGGGTTCGCTGGCACATTAATCCACTTGTCGTCCCTCCCATCACGCTCTTACAAATAACTCTGCCCTGATAATGGGGAGGTAGAGAGAGGCCAGCTCTGAGTGCTGGTGGGGGGCTGGGGTGGAAGGGAGGCTGCGGAGGAGTGGGAAGGGGAGTAGTGGGGCTGGGAAGGGGGGTGACAGATGAGCAGAGAAGGGGACCTGGGGTCTGAGCTGGGGTCTGGAGCTGACAGGAAAGATTCTGAAAACCCTGCCAAAGAGAGCCAGCGTAACGAAGTCCTTCGCTAACCGTCTTCTCACGCCGGTGCCCTCAGCCGTCTTGGCGGCCCACCACTGGGTGCTGGGCAGCGGCTCTCTGTGGGGCCTCAGTGACTTGCCCTCCAGCCTCCAGACCCTGGCCCCACATCGGCTGTTAGGAGCGTGGCTCTAGGCAGAGAGGTGCCTTTCCGCGTGTGTCAAGCATCTGCAGGGCTGGTGTCTGCTGAGGTCCTGGGGTGTCCCCATGGGCTGGCTGTTGGGGACAGAGCCCTGCCGGTTCCTCTCTCTGTCCTCTTCACTGATCCAGGAAGCAATATAAAAAGAGCAGGCTTGGCTTCCTCTGCTGGTTCCCACTTAGCCGTGAGTTACTTAGCCGCCTTGAACATCCACAACTGCTCTGATGCTCTGAGGATGGTGTCAGGTCGAATGCCCCAGGGACCCCTGGACACCACCCATTCCCATGAGTTCCCCGAGGGCTCTTCGTGGCAAAGAGCAGAATGGTCGGCTGCAGTGACCTGTCACAGAGCTGGCACCTTGGCGCCTGGGCACAGTGCAGGGCTCTGGGAGTTTCTGCCTGTTAGCCCATACCAGGCCCAGAGCAAGTCTTTTGCTCTGTCCTGTAAGGGGATGGGAACAGTTGAGGGAGGGCCAGACAGAGGGCAGGAGAGGGCGCTTGCCCCCACACCTAGTGCCCCAGCCAGCCAGAGGCCTTCTAGGCCAGGACAGATGCCAGGGGAAGGGAGAAGAGGGGGAACAGTTCCACCCCTGTGAAACTCTGGGCAAGTCTCTTCGCCCTTGACTCATCCGACCTTGGGAAAGACTAAGGGGTGAGGCGGAAGGGGTGGGGGTGGGAGTTGGAGGAAGGGTCCCTGAGCTCTGATCGCACACTGGATCTCCACCTGACAACATGCCCCCAGGTGGGTAAGGCACGGTTGGGACAGGAGGTCACTCCCGGGAGAGCAGCTGCAAGTGCAAAGGAGGGAGGCGTGCACTGAATACCTTTTCAGTGTTGATGAAATATGTCGCCAACTAGAGGGGGACACAAGGGACTGCTCAAAAGAATAACACAACAGTGTGAAGACAGGAGGGAGAAGAGGAAAGGGGTGCTGCTTTTCAGTCACCCCAACCCTGGCCTCAGCCGGAGCTAAGCTCTTCCCAGGCTGGCAGAGGTGCTAGTGAGGGCACAGAACACAGGACAGAGATCTAAGGACATCCATGTGCTGCGAGGCCACGGGCTCATCATTCTGCCCTTTGGAGTGGACTTCAACAAATATAACATTAGCCCCAGTCATGAGATTAGCTTAATTAGCTGTTAGATCCTTGGGAGCATCTTTGAGGCAATTGGGGACTGAAGACATTAGCAGCCTGTGCCCTCAGCTAGACCCTAAAATAAAACCACCAGTGTCTCTGGTGTCTCAGTAACTCCCCACACCCACTCTAGCCACTGTGGCCGACTGTTCCTAAAGTAACCAAGGGGATCTTTTAAGAAAAAAACCCAGATCTGATCATGCTGCTACTTAGAACTCATCAATGGCTGTCGCTTGCTGTTAGGATAAAGCCCCAATTATTTCTTTAGAGTTCAAGGCCCCTGCCAAGTTCTCCACCCCGGTTGCCCCCTCAGCCTGTGTGTCCAGCTCCTTGACCTTCTGCGAGCTCCCAGGACACCGTCCTCCTGGCCTCAGAGTCTTTGCGCCTGCTGTGCCTTCTGCCAAGAATGCTTTGCCCGCTTAATGCCTACTCATCCCTCAGGCCTCTCAGGCCAGCCCGGGCCCTCTGCCCCATGCTATAGCCACAGGGGGCTTCTCCAGGACCGCAGTAACCACAATTGCAGTGAAACGATCAGTGGTCTAATTCATCCTTGACTCTGCCTCCCAAGCTTAAATGTCAGGACGGAAGACAAGGACCAACTGTGTCCGGGCTAATCACCCTGTAAGCCACGTACTCACCTGGTGCACACAGAATGTCAGCTATTTATGGAATGATGAGTCTGGAAATGAGAAGAGTGTTAGAATCAAACAATTCTGGATTCAAACCCCCACTCTGCACTTTACTAAGGGTGGGACCTGAGTATGAATTTTCAACTGAGAAACCTTTTTTCCCTCATGTATAAATGGAGGATAGAACTATTTTCCTATTAAGCTGCTGAGAGGATGACCAAGCCACACCCAGGTGGATGCCTGCCATGTTATGTGGTCACCTAACATCAGCTCTTGGCCACTTCCTTCCACAGGGCCTGGCTCAGAGCGGGCACACCAGGAGTGTGCCTCCTGTTGGCCCATGGAAACACCAGGCGACCGAGAGGCGATGTTGCCGGGAGACCTGGCCCCCCACCCTATCGCCCCTGACCGCCCGCCCGTGGGAATGGAGCTGTCCCAGGGGAAGGTCTGCAGTTTCACTTGCATAGTTTTCAAACAAGAAGACAAGAAGAGGAAAAACGAAACCACCCGGCGAGCGGCAGGGGCCTATTTTGCTGGCTGCGGGCACCGTGGGCCTCGGGTATTTATTTATTTTTTAAGTAACTGACTCATGAGTCAGTCGGTTGGCTTGGTGGTAAAAAAGGAACCCACTATCAAGGAAATAGCTGATGAGCGACATGCTGTGGGTGCCGTGCCAGCGCACCACTCCCGACTTCTGAAAGTCTCTTGTGCTCGGCCGGCCAAGCCAGCGAGAGCTGGGGCTCCTCGCGTTGCTCTCCAGGACCACATGCCAAACGCTTTTGAGCTCCTTCAACAATTGCCTCACGATTGCTGTTCGCTGCCAGTGCGTGTTTGCTGTAATTATACAGTGTCTAAAGGAGAAGCTCAAAGACTTGTTGATTTTGGCTGGGGTCCGGCCCAGCAGGCGGGGGTGACCTGGGCCCTGGCAGAGTGTGGGAAGGCGGCTGGCCGCCCCGGTGAGGACGTGACCAGCTGGAGCAAGTGTTGAACTGGGGCCATCACAGCCAGAACCGCCGCCTCTGCCTGGCTCTCCTGCCAGCTGACTTGAGCCGGCTTTCTTTGGAGAATAACCCGAGGAGAACAAAATGAGGAACTGGAGTTCCTATAAAAAGCAGCTCGCTCCTTCCTCTCGCCAAGTCCCTGAATGATAATCATCTCTGAAGCTGGCTGCCCCTCCCCTCCTGAATCACTAGCTAACCCTGTGCATTGTCTCTCTCTTGTCTCTGCAAGGAAACAGCTTGGCTTCGGAGAGGCCCATCCAGGGTGGCGGGGAGCTGCAGCCATCTGAACCTCGCTTCCTGCTTCCCCCAGACGGGCTATGCTGGGCCTTCGAGAGGTCATCCAGAATGTGCTGGAAAGGAGAGAGCGCTGGCTTGGAGTCGAGGACCCTGGCCGCAGCTCAGGGGCCTCCACTAATGTTCTTTGTGATGTGGACAAACTACTTATCCTATGGAGGTTCAGTTTCTCCATCTGTTATGTGAGGGGTGGGCTAAAGCCGTGGTTTCCAAACTCACCTCCTTTTAATTCTTTAAATCTGGGCCAACAATTCTTTCCAAGGATATTTTAATGGAACCTCAATGCAGAAAGCAGAACTGCTTGGTGGAAGTGGGAGTCACCTCCCACAGCCCCATCCACTCATCATTTGCTGCCCGACCCCTTCCAGAGATGCCCTGAAACCCTGGAGGAACCTTTGGGTACTGTAGAACACAGTTTGAAATCTGTAGGCTCTGCTCTCAAAGACCCTGCCAGCCTTTGGGCCAGGAGAAAAATCTATACCTGCTGCGGGAAAATCCCCGGAGGTACCTTTGGCTGTCTCAAGTGAACCTGACTCTATCCTGGCATGGGAGAAGAATCCAGCTCGAAGACGACAGCCTATCGTAACAACAACAACAACAAAAATGATTTTGCTCCCGTTGAAGTTTCTTGAGCAACTGGCAGGCCGCCATAAATGTACTTAGGCGGAAAATCACCAGAAAAAAATGATATAATCTGACAGATTTTTCACAGACTTAAATATTCATGAATTAAAGGAATTGGCAGAAATTTTCTACATTATTAGCTTTCATCATGGCTGCAGGAACAGTTGGTATACTGGCTTCGCTTCAAGATCCATTAATCTCGTCCATCATAAGAGCAGCCATTTTAAAATTGGCTTTTTTTTTCTTCTTTTTTTTACTGAGTGATGGTGTGCGGGGGAGATGGGGAAATCAAAGTGTGATTGCAGTTTAAAGGTCCATCCCCTCCTCACTTTAAAATCAGCAGGGGAAGCCAAACAGCTTCTCAGCAGGATGGGGTCAGCGTGGTTCCAGGCCAGAGACTAGCTCCTTCACACAGGCAGCACATGCTCTGCCTGCTGAGCCCCGAGCTGTGGGCCAGCGCCTGACAGGGGGTTAGGACAACTTTCTGGGAGGCTGAGACCAAGAGACCCAAATAGGGGCTTCTGGGTTAGGATGACATTTAGACCGAATAACACAGCCTTTCTACCAGATGGCACTCACGGTACAGGGCTGCAGAATAGCCAAGTACTAATATTCATTATGTATGGAGTGGATGCTCGGAGCCGGGTACTGCGCTCGCTCTGGCATCAGAGAACTTGGAAGGTGGGTATACATACATAACAGTTGAGGGAGTGAGTCAAGAGAGGTTAAGTCAGTTGTCCAAGATCTCACAGCCAGTGAACGGCAGGGTCATGATTCATGTTCAAGTCCGTCTGTCCCCAGAAGTACTGAAAACGTGCCGTGTTAATCACTTTGAAGGGCATTCTCCCGAACACACCCACAATCTGCCAGGAGGAAGCTGCTTCTTTCACAGCTTAGAGCAAAGCTGGAGGTCAGATCATCCCTATAGAAACTTAAGACCCAGGTTAATTTCTTTC